CTTTCAACTTCCAGCCATTACAGGCAAAGCAGACTGTGGCTGAGTGGGAAGTGTGGTTTGTGTGCCATATCAGTTTCCATGTCTCTTTGATGTACATTCATAAGTAGTTTGGGTCCTTGGCAAAAGACTCCTCCCACTTCATGTCATTCCCACTGGTTGATCTCAAACCCAAAGCTGTCCTAAGCCCTGACCCTGGCTGATACCAAGTCACATTCCACCCACCACTTTTCATCCGTCTGAGGACACTCCTGTTCTTTGGTTCCTGCTCCAGGGACTGGGAAGGATTCAAATTTCCTGCAACTTCCAGACTGTGGGAAGGAAAGTCATTCCAGTAGTCTTCGCTTCCCAGGAGAAATGTGATGGGGGAGGGAAGTGCTGCTTGATTAAGAGGACACTTCTGAATGAACCTCCACTTTTGCCACGACATCAGGTCCAGAGCCATGACTGATTTACCCGCCTCTTTATTGACAGTTCTTCACCCAGGGGCAGGAACTCCACACTCTGCACAGAAATGGCACAGTTACGGTAGAAAAACATCTGTACTTATGAACACAACTGCACATTTTGCATAAGAAAAATCCCATCGTCCTATGTACAAACATTGCATGACCAGAGTAGGAGGTAGTTTGAAAAAAACAGCCCTTTCTGTATCCATTAATACTATTTTCCTTAAGGAAGAATGCCCAAGGTAGGACTCAAGAGTATTCTGTGACATTTAAACATCTGCAGTCAACTTTGAAGGTAGCTTTCAGTGAGGTACTGACAAAAAGCCAGCGGTCTCTATAATAAATATTAAGGGAAAAAAAAAAGTTTGTTTTATATGGAGACAGACTTTGCAGAGCCAGGGCATGGTGTTAGGGAAGCACTTGCTAAAAAAAAAAAAACAAAAAACAAAAAAACAGTTAAGCTTTTCTTTGCTGTGGCTGTAGGATTTTCTGGAGCAGGGTAGGCTGTGTTTCCTTTGACTGCTCTCTTTTGCCATTACTCTGCCTTGCTACAGAGACGAGACTAGCTCTATAGTTCTATAGTTGTGCCAAATTTCTATATTTGCTTACAAGTTTGGTTCTAATACTCTAAAAACTCTTAAAAAACCCCAAGCATAAGAAACGAAAACAGCCAGATCCTCCTTAGTTCAGATTTTCAATGGCTCCAGGAGTGCTTAGTTTCTCAGCTTCCATAGTGTTCTGTGGAAAAATCACGTTTTACAGAATGTACATTTTTAATTCTGACACATCAGGTGGCTATGAGAGCAGGGACACAGCAACATCTGCTTTTACAGTCAGCAGATTGATTTACACCTATTCCAGTCCAACTTCATACTTAGGGGTTCCAAAACTGGCTAAAACCCTGAGAAACAAAGGGGTTGCCATTTTTGGGAAATTATACCCACATCCCCTAGGAAATGGGAGAAGTTTGAAACTTTCAGAAACAGCATTATTTCGTAGTTCTCAGGACAGAGCAGAGTGGTTATCAAAGGAGGAGGAGTATGTTTTTAAAATAAATATTTGCCATATGCTGGTTTTACTGCATGTTATTGTCTATTTGTTGTTACTTTTACTGTTTCTTTAACTTCTGAATTTCTCAGCATTTCTGTGTACAAAAAAATAATCAATTTTATACATTCAGTCAACTGTTCTTTTGTCCTGCTTTTCCAGAGTAAGGAACGTGTCCCAGATAAACTTCTTACAATGTCACAGACAGTTTCACTGCCTTTGAACAGCAAGATGCAACTTATTCCCTTCCTGCTCTCCTCTACATACCAGAACTTTTATATATTTGATAGCTTTAATGAATAATAAGTATTCTTTGCTTTTGAAATGCAAACTAGGACAATCAGTTGAGAGTCTTGAAATATAAGTGGCTGAAATGTTCCAGGTCAATGTTATCTGAATAATTTTTTTTTTTTTTTTAAATTCTCAGAATGACTGTGCTGTAGTTTGTACCTTTGGTGGCACATGAATTCTGTTTGAGGCAGCTGTTCATTTCCATCTCCATGCAAATTGCAGAAGCTACACTATTTCAAAGTGGGAAAGATTGATATAAACGTCTTAGGAACTGCCTAAGTTTCAGACTGTATCTCTACTGGTAATGCAATCATATGTACACAGTATTGAGTGTTTTCTTACGAACTGGAAAGATTTTTTCATTTTTTATTTCTATAAATAGATGAGGCATTGCATTTATTTTCATATTTAAACAAAAATGCCTGTGCAAGCCTATGAACCTGTTAAAAATTTTAGATAAGGTCACCAAAGCCCAAATACTAACGAATTTCACTTGCATAAATCTCCAGGGTTTGAGAGCTGCACTTCCTGTCATGTGCAGCTTTAATCAAGTGACACAAGGGTGGTACACAGAGCTAAATCTGTCCCTTCATCGTCATTTTATCAACTTCACTACTAGTTCTCCCAGTCTCCAATGCAGGCACTGACTCACATAACTAGGGAAGGGAAAGCAAGAAAAGTTAACCCACAGTTTTCTACCAAATCAGTCAGAAATCCAGACGTGTTCTAAAGCAGGCAATGACTAGGCTCCCTGGTTGAACTTAGTAGTGATGGGGGAAAGAAAACTTCCCACGATTGTTCCTGCAAGTAACACAAAATGCAGCAGGTTTAAGGAGGCCTGTGAAACCACAAGATCAACTAACAGATGGACATTACAGCAGCTGGGGAGAAGGAGAGGGAACACCATGCTGCCAGAAGCAGTTTATAGCAGGGTTTATGTCACAGAGTGTGACAGAAGCAGTATGATACTGCATAGAGAACTGGCACTGAGGAAGCTGGAGACTGCAATGTGAAGAAAGTATCCAGGCATCAGTGCCAAGGGAAGAATAAGGGGCTAAGAAACAAGTCCTTTAATCACAGAAAATTTTCAGTTAGATGTTCCTATGCAATCTCCATACTTTTATCTGTAAATGACCCACTACACTTTTGAACGCTAGATATTCCGACAGCTGAACCAATAGTAAGGGAAATAAATATGACTATAGCAAAACCACTTTCATATTTTCTTTCTTAGAGCAAGCGCAACTTCAGACTCCATTACCACAAAAGTTCATGTAAAACGCAAATCAAGATCCTCTTGTGTTAGCTGCCACACAAATACTGAAAGAGAAATACAGTTTTTGTCAGCCTGGTAGGCAGGGATCTTTACATGGAAGGGGCCAACTTTTATCAGCAGGGTGGGGTGCTTTTGCGGGGCGGAAGCTAGACATTTTGATAAAGAAGAATATTAAAGAATCTTGTGAAGGAGGACAGCAAATTAATTCTGCTGCTATTTAAGTCCAGTACCTGTCATGTGTGAGAGCATGGATGAAATTAATTTTTAGAAGTTTGTGCAAACCTCAAAGACATTATTTTGTCACGCAGGTACCCAGAGTTATACATAATTCAAACATGAATGTCACTGTTCACAAAAGCGTATCTACAGAAGAAAGTTACTTTCATAATTGAACTAGAGTATAGGCCTGAAGCTTGTATTGCTGCCATGGCTGGTGATACAGGGGTTAATTCAAATGTAAATATGTCAAGTCACGACAACATCACATCAGCCAAGCTAGTTCTGTTTTAAATTGCTAACATTGACATACCAACTATCATACTCTCAAGAAACTGTTTGTTCTTACCTCTGAAACTAATTTTATGATTGTAGACTCGTTAATTTACATACCTAAATTAGTATGTGTTATGTAGATTCGTTGGCTAGAGTTAGGGTATGATTTACTCTGCAGTGAAAAATCAGTTATATTCCTAATTGAGGCAGTTTAGCAGAAGTCTCTGATTTAGATGGACAGACTTAGATGCCACAGTGTTCCTGGGTGAGATACAATTCTATGTGCAAGGAGATGGTGTAATGGTTTAAGCAAACATACAAATCTTGACATTCAGATTGGTCCCACATCTTGATGTAAGATAAATATTGTACGCTATGTTTGGAGTGTATGTGCATACTCTGATCATTTAAGGCGTGGGGAAAAAAATGTTCTGTGGTGGTTTTGAGATTTTTATATAGGCTTTTAAGGCTTCCTTTTTTTAAACAGACTTATCTCCTTCAGTCCACAATACTTACAGATTGAAATACTCTTTAAACCCCCCCCACACACACACTGTGCTTATAAATCAGACAAATAGTCAATTGTCTGCTGTTATTCATCCCTGCACCTAGCCACATTTTCAGTGGAAAAAATCAGCTCAACATGCAATTAGCACGTGACATTTCTGTAATAGCAGAATCTGGGAATTTCCACTGCCTTGTCCCACTTACCTGTCCTCAGTAGCAACTTCTGTACAGCACAGCATGAGTTAGAGAGTTTCTGTGTGTAAAGTCACTAGGGAAAGGAGCACTATTTTTCAGATGCCACCACTAATTTTGTGCTCTAATCTCAGGTTTAACTATTTAAAAATAAACACAAACATTTAGGTATTGCGAGGCATTTTGAAATTGTTGTTGCAAATACAGGTAAATGTTCAGACAAAATTCTTCTGTCGAGAGTGTTTCCTTTACTTCTTCATGTTCAGAATGCTTTAAGATTTCTGAAGGGCACATTCAGAATATAGCTCTTTTACTCTAACTTCACTTCACTCGTTACTAGCATAATGAATTAACCCAAGTGGAAAACACAGGAGATGATCATAGAAGACACTTCCACCATATACAAACTTTTTATGAGTCTAAATATGTTTTTTAAATACATAGCAGTTTCCGTGTGAATTAGTAAGTGAGAAAGAGAAATTCAGAACATTTCAGGACATACTGGTATTAGATAACCATAATTTCTCTGATAAAAGCACGGGAAAACCCACACACTCTCCTGTTTCACTTTCCAACTCCATTATAGAAATATTTTCTACACAATTTACAATTCTGGGGTCTCTCTACTGTGAAATGGGTTCCTTTTGCAGGTTTTTTTCAAACCACTACTAATAAAATAATCTCCATTTTGAAAGCCTGGCTCAGGAATGATGATTTCATTTACTTTAGGTAATTTTTATTCAGTTGGCACAAAGCACTTGACCAAAGAACATGAATCTGAGCAAAGAAATTAGCTCCTCTAGGTGTGCTTTTGTACAGAAGAGCTGTAGTCATGTTTCCTGCATACTTTAGCACGGAAAAAAAAGTTGAATCACTTAAATCTGCTTTCTTCCAAGCACTGTCAATTTTTTAACAGATACTCAGTTAATTTCAGTCTCAAATACTGGCAAAAATGTCTTTAGCTGTAAGATCTCGGAGATAGATTCATTTCTTTCCTGGTAAAAGTCAAGCCCGGTTAGCAGCTCCACATCCCGAACACGTGCAGAATGAGCCTGAACTCTTTCTTCAACCCATTCAGAAAGTGACTTATTTTCCTGCCAAAACAGACAAGAACAATGTTCAAGCACATAAAAGGCACTCTGTTGTTTGGTGGTGGTGTTAGACAATAACCAGTGTTTGAACTGGTTTGACAGACAAAAGGCCTCCAGTTGGTAAGACTTCTTTCAGGTTTTCCTAGACATCTTTACAGCCTTGCATATAGGGATCTCATTTAAACAGAATCAGATGGATTTCCTCTCTCCCCACCTCCTAAGTAAAAGACAAGCAAAATTATGCTGAAATAACAAGTATGTCTTTTAACGACAAAGTACAGTTGAGTCATATTTTAAACATACATGTAAGGATAGGTTTAGTTACAGTATAAATTAGCTGCAGTGCTCAGGCTAGCCAAACAACAGCCACCTGACAACCTGAACAAAGTCCTTACAGTCTTGACTGTTGGACGGCAATAGCAATTGCTAGATAGACAGGGAAAACAATGGAAATGTAAGCACTAATCAATCAATCTTCTACTACGATGTTTTTTTTGCAAACAGGTGGTAATTTGCTTTTCTCTTAATATCTGCTTCTGACAGAAATGGTTCGCTAAATTTACATCACTGCAAGATACAACGAATATAAAGTCCAACAATATTTGGAGTTTGTCGCTAAATTTTAGAACTAACAGGTGTTAATTTCTAAAGTATAAAGACTAATTAATTCAAATTATTTATTCTGTATATTCAGTCAACTCTTAACCACACTAGGCAGTTATGGATTATCCACACCACAAATGAGGAGACACCCAAGTTGTTTCTAAGCAGCACAAGCTTGCACCTGTCTGGAGTTATGAGTTCAAAGTTATAAATAAACTAAACAAACACAATTGTATTGCTTTGAGGTCCAGTTAAAGTCTGTGGAGCTACACTTGTGTGTGGGGAGACTCTGTAATACACTCACTGAGCTAAGGAACATTCTGCATCCCCATACATATTACACTCAGCTAATTGATTTTGTTTGCTACAAAACACGAGATTTATTTACACTGTTAGTGGTAAGCATAGATTTCATTTCATTCAAATATGAATTTCAACTGCAGAACATCCATCTAAATGCCTACTGTCTAATTTCTCATGAAGGTGGAACAAGGGAGTGAAGGAATTCTAGCTACCCTGAAGGGAGTAATAGTCAAAGTCCTCTGATACCTCTGGAGTAAGTTTATCCTGCCACTTTCCATAAAGGTATCTAATCATCCTGTTGGCTGTGCTGCTGTTCTTAGCCCTTCTCAGGTGACGGCATTTCCAAGTCCTCTTATCAAACCCTCCTTTCTTCTTCTTCCTTGCTTCCTATTAGCTCACTAATTTCCAGCTACCTCTCCTGGAGCTTCTTGCTCTCCTAGTCATTGGTTTATCTCTCAACTCACTCTCAACTCATGGGGAATGAATTAATTACACACTTAGACTTCTAAAGATTCTCCAGATGACTGGATCCCACTGGGAATCCGTTCACAAAGCTCATTGGCACACAGGAGCATAGAACTATACTTACAGCACAGCTTTCAGTGTTGTCAGGTCGATGAGGAATGATAAAAGACGAAACATCCAAGGAGCCTGAACAGTTCAGGGGAGTATAGGACTTGTTCTTGCAGCTAGTCAGAACCACAAAGTAATGGGTTGGGACAGGGATTTCTGTGTTGTTTACATGCCTACAAAACAAATGTTAATCGAGGGATTTACGTAGATATCAAGTATTAAAACCACTGATGCCATTAGTATTTTATAGAACTTATCTCAGCATAGATCTTTCACTACTGTATGACTTCTATTTATTTTATAATTGAAATAAATACCTGATGGGATAAACAGCCTCACTTTCTGTTTCACAAACAGCCAAACACGCATGGATTAGTCTTTTTGCTACAAGCAGTCCCACTGAAACCAGCAGGATTTCTTACATGGTCAACACTCTATTTTGCCAAAGCCAGAGAACTCCACATCTGGAAGAGGCAGGGTAGAGCATCGTATTTGCCCTTCATTACATTAAGAATTTCAGCCATGTGAAACTGAATTGGAGAAAAATTATGAGAAAATTAGCCCCTGGTTCCTTGCCAGCATTTAAGAAATGCCAGAATGATGACTTGTGGCTATGTGCTATAGAAAGAGTTTAGGATACATGACTGAAAATGTCTTTGCCTCCCTTTTCCGGCTATTCCATGAACATAGTCACTTTTGTGTATAAACTTAGGACGAGCTGAAAGCTTCCCAGATTTGCTGTACATCTTCAGTATTCAACAAAACACCATCTCTGAAATCATTATACTGCTTTGTACCACTGACTAACCATGCTGAATAAAACATGCTTATTCCAAACTGTGGACAACATTATGTGGTCAACTGGGTATTACAGCATTCTGCTTGGAAGGAAGTTCTAGTCTCTCCTCCCTTCCACCCTCTTACTTCGTGGCAGAGCTGATTTTCCCATTCTCAAACCATTTTTGACAGATGTGGTATTAAGTCTAGCCTTGAATAAAACATCTCCAGTGACAGATTCAGCTGTGCAGATTTCCCAGCACTTTTCTACTACTTAAGTGTTCTTACTGTCACAAGGCGTTTCCCCTATATTTGGAAAAAATCTAAGTTGTTTGTTCTTACTCTTTTTTTTTTTTTTGGTCCTTCTGTCCTCATTCACTAACAAATAATTAGTCTTTATCTTTTATAGATTTTTTAATGTTAGTCTTCTCTTATTCCTGTTTTTACATACAGATCGTTTTTTAAATGTATTTTTTCATGCTACCAAAGCTCACTAGAAGGTCTGACAAGTTCTAGGTACGTTTAAGTGACCTGTGTAAGCCATAGCTATGCAAAGGTACTGCTCAAGAACATAACATTTTACATTCCCAGTTACATGATTCAGTGAAGGCAAACACAGAAATCTAATCTTTGAGAAAACGTATCAGCTTGAGACAACAGGGAGAAACAACAAACAGGTGGGTGAGCACACCATGAAAGTGAGGAAAATTATGCTTAAGCACATCTGCGTAGTTAGATGGCATATATTCTCCCAGTATTTCTGTTGCAGAGGCCCAAAAATCTAGGCATAAGCTTGGGAAACAAATTGGTCTGTATCAGTGCATGCGTACATAGATACACATGTAACTGCATGTTTTTACTGGAACTTCAATGTCTACTTGCAACTCTGTTTGCAAGAGTATTTGCTGTTCTGTGAGTAACAGTGGATGCAGTATTATAAAGGGAATACTCCATTCTCTTTGACACTTGTTCTTTTTAAATAGAAGTTTGTTTGTGTAGAAATACAGTGGGAAATAATCTGGAGTTTGACTCTCAGCTTTTCCATGTACTTACTGCTTAATTTCATCGAGAGTATCAAAATGGCCATCATAATTGTAATCAAACACGGGTCCGCTGATAACATTTACTCCATTCCTTTCTCTAGCATACTCCTGAAGAAGCACATTATGGAAATAGTCCCATATCTCTGTCATTAAAAGAAAATACAAGCATATTTAACATAGATTTGAAGTTATTTCAACACTAAAGAAAAAGAACGTATTTCCTTTTTTGCTATCGATGAATAACAAAATGTTCCAAACTAAGCTGCCTTTTTGTTACACAAAATTTGGATTTCATCAGAAGGAACAAATTCCCACTCACCATTGAAAGAGGCACGGCACAGCTTTGCAAGGCCCAAGGAGATAATGCACCTGATCTGAAGCTGAAGCTACAATTCTAGAGCTGAGAGGTCATTCATTTCTGGCCTATCTGCTAGCACCTGCAACTGTGCCAATTAGTAGAAACTGAGACAATGGCTTTGTGAGAGGAATATTCACCACCTGAGAGCTAGCCTATCTCTACAGAGCTCATGTCAAACAGCACTAGACAATTTGGCTTATTTCACAGATGTTATTTGAAAAAATACAATTTGTAGGATGAAAGATAGTGAGACTATTTGAATATTTACAGCTATCGTGGCAAAAAAACCCAGATGGATTTGGGGTATTGAGGGCATCCCCTGTTGATTTACTTCTTGCTTATGGTCTAAAGTAACTTCTTGTAAGTTTAAATCTCTTGTAGAGTTTTCCTTGGAAAACTGGATTTTTCATAATGTCTTTGATTTACTTGGAAGATTAAAGCCACTTAGATTTTCTGGATCTCTGTTTTTTATATGACATGAGTGAATAAATAAACAAGGTCTGAATGCATTAGAAAGGTAGTTACATCATTGCTTTTCCTCCAGTTTTTCCTCATGCAATTCCTCTTTCTATCCTTTTTCTAAGAAAACGAGTCTGAGCTTAAGAGTAAAACAGGACAACATGCAGTTGTAGAATGTTTCTTATCGGTGATTACAAACAAATGTGAGTCAGGCTGGATGGAAAGAGTTAATGTAGCTTACAACACTTGTATAATAGAAACATCTGCCTGAAATAAATATTCCAATATTAATATTGTCTGGTTTGAGTTTCTACTTGATGAAACAGGCACTGTATCAGGGCATTGTCCACAAAGTTCATCCTGTCTTCTCTTGAGACCTTGCAAAAGGAAAGAAAACGTCCCATTTTCATTCACCTTGAGAATTTCCCTGAGGGGATATTTCCACGACAGTTTCATAGCTAGCAGCACACAGGAGAATAAGAGAAAATTCAAAAGTGAACAGGTACATCTAAGTCAGACAGGACTACACACAGAAAAAAAATTATCTTGGATCATAGGTGCATTTTAAAATTTCGAACACCTACATTTAAAAACTTTAAAATATATTTGCACAAGATCTGAAAATACTACAGGCCATGCATTAATGCTTTTAAGTCCTTGTCACAGCTTTATCAAATCCAGAACTATCATTATAGGAAATTGATCAAAATCTATCAAGACTTTGCAACCTACCTCTGAAAGCTGTATACATGGGGACAATATTGCTGGTGAGTAAGGCGTCATACTGTTCAGAAGCAGATGAGTTGAAGTCTACATAAAAGAACAAAGTGTAAATTAATGAAATACCATACAAAAATGTACTTGATTCATATTTCTCTATAAATTGCAGGTATAGGTAATTCAGTTACATTTTACATTTAAGAATTAGCATATGATCCTACTGCAAACATATCTCCAAATTTGTTTGTACAATCTGTTCAAGAAAGTATTTGTCTAATTTGACAATAGGAAATTAATATTCATACAGACGAAGAGAGACAGCCCTTCACTCCAACCCTTTACATCTTTCTAACTAGTTTTCATCACATTCAAGTTGTTCCATTTTTTAAAGAGAAACTTAAATGTTCTAAACTGAAAATATTTAGATACAAGTAGCAGTTGCCCTGCTTTGGTCAGTCTACAAACACTGGAAACCTTTTTCTGCCCAACATGCTGATCCGAAGAAGTTTGTTTTGGTGTTTGGGTATATGTTTAAACATAAACCCACATCCAGCTGATTAAGACTTTCTAAGCTCTAGCTATAAAAAGAACCATGCTCACTGGGAGGATAGAGGAAACTGCGGATGAAGGTCAGCCCTTCTGGGTAGTTGGAACAATTTTGGCTCCGAGCAACAGGGATTCTAACATCAGCCCGCAGACAGTCTGAAACAGTGGGAGGAAGAGGAGATGTGTTTTCCTGTGAAAAGGGAAAAAAAAAAAAGTATCACACCCACGGCTGTGGCTAAGCCAATGCTTTGCATGGTTTTAACTTTCTAGAACAGACTTCATTGAATCTTCTATTTTCATAGTGAATCAGGTCAATGCAAGTAATGGATGCTGACATTTTTTGCCTAGTGTTTTTCCTCTACTTCTGTTTTTAGGTAATTCAGGGAAATCCTTATGCAGCATGTAAAATTGTAGTAGCAAAATAAGGTTATACCTTAGGCAAAAACAGGTGACAAGTTTGGCTCATTCGTCACTTTTACATATTTCTGGAAACACAAACTTGATGTCACATCCTCCTGCAAAGCAGCTAGTATATAAAGATGACACTATCACCTCATCTTAGCACCTCAGGGTGGTATCTCCACAACAAGAGTCTGTGCCGCTGAAGAGTTAAAGCTAAATAAGCCCATAGTAAATTCAGTACATTTTACCAGCTCGCTTCACTAACTTCACTGAGACACGTTAACATGCACGCTAGCTAAGACCTGGCCAAAAGTGACTCTGATGAGTATGATTGTTTCTGTAACCTTTACTGTCTTTTCTATAACCTTTATCATCATTTGACAATAGCATTGACTAAAACATCAGAATATGCTTTTCTGTGTTTAACTACATTTTCTTTTTCATACTAATTTACATGTAATTTATGTTCCTTTTGGTAAGAACGGGCCATATTTATTTGCTTTATACCTTTATAAATGGTAATTAAACATCTAAATTGATTGTCAGTACATTGTTGATTTTGATTGGTTCAAACCAAGCGGAAATAAAGAACTAGAATGTTCTTCTTGTGCCTTTTTGTACTCCTTGATTTAATTTCTTTACTTACTTTTATGAGAATTCCTATAGATGCCCATGTTAAGGTCAGGTCGTATATCAATGGAAAATATATATACCACATGGAATGAAATATAAAAGACAAAAGATTGCCTTTGCTACCTGAGTAGATAAGTTGTCTCTTTGCTGTGTTCATCCCATTGCAGGATAGATTAGATTGTTATATATTTTAATATATCTTTATAGTAAAGTTCAGTGATTCTACATAGCAAAGCTTTTTAAATTCCACATGTGTCTGAAGGCAGGTGGAGGGATTATCTATTTGCAAGAAAATCTACCTTCCTCCCTGTCAGATGAGTATAAAACCTCAAGAAAACAAATGTCCTTCAATCTTAAATTTTCCTTTGGCTGAGAATACTAAGTAACTAAAACTCTATCTGATATAATTTAAGACTTCAACCTATATAATCTGATATCACATACAGGTGCAATAATGCTGTGCAGGCTTGATCAGCCAGCCCGGTTTCAAAACTTCCAAATCACACAAAACCAGCAAAACTCCAGCCTGCATCATCTATTTTATTGTTTAGGCCCTTCTTTATAGCTACCTAATGTCAAGAAATGCCCCTTACAAATTGTGTAAATCACTGCACAGGCTTTATCCACAAGATAAATAACCTAGGATGCAATAAAAACTGTAGAAATTGCAGTTTTCTGTCATTCCCAAGTATTGTAGTCAAAGCATACGGTCAAAGGCATTAGCTCTATCCCTCTATCCATCCACTGCTGTTATAATTTAGAACATTACAAATGTAATGAAGCAAAACCAATCTTTGCTGAAATGGACATTTGTTTCACTAGACTTTAAGACTTCTTAGGGCTGGATTTTTGACCCTTCGCCCAGATTGTGAAAAATCAATAGAAAGTATGGAGTAAAACTTTCTGAAATGCTAACATTCTAGCAGCATATATTTGATTAAAAAAATTTCCCCATATTTGTACTGACAGAATAAGAAATCATGCAGTCATCAATAACAGTTCTCTTCAGACAGAATAATCAACATAAAAGCTATTTCCTCAGAGCAACCTAGAAAAAGGGTCAAATTATAGGGTAAATTAAGCCCATGAATGTCCACTAGTTTACTGGCCTTGAAAATTCAAACAATTTTCAGGCCATACCTGGAATACTGTGTTCAGTTTTGGTCCCTGCTGTACAAAAAAGATGTGGACAGGCTGGAAAGGGTCCAGAAAAGGGCCACACAGACTGGGAAGCCTGCTATATGAGGAAGGGCTGACAGACCTGGGTTTGTTCGTCCTTGAGAAAAGAAGGCTTAGGGGGGACAGTGTTACCATGTTCCAGTATTTAAAGTGTGGCTACAAAGAAGATGGAGACTCCCTCTTTACAAGGAGTCACATGGAAAAGACAAGGGGTAATGTGTACAACTTACTCCTGAGCATATTCCAATTAGACACAAGAGGAAAATTTTTCACAAGAACAATCAGCCATTGGAATAATCTTCCCAGGGAAGTGGTGGAGTTCCCAATGCTGGACGCTTTTAAGATTCAACTGCACAGGGTGCTGGGCCATCTTGTCTAGAACGTGGTTTTCCCAAGCATGGTTGGACCAGATGATGGTTGGACCAGATGAAGGCTCCAGGTTGGATGGAGCCTTGAGCAACCTGGTCTAGTGGGAGGTGTCCCTGCCATGGCAGGGGGGTTGGAACTAGACGATCTTTGAGGTCCCTTCCAACCCAAACCATTCTGTGATTCTATGACCCTTCAGGTCCCTTTCAACCTGGTATTCTATGATTCTATGAATTTATTCCAGAGCCACATACCCTTGAATTCTCAGAAGTTCATTCATCTATAATTATATTTTTTAGGAATTATATAATGTAATAGCAAATAAACAGAACATACAGAAATATGCATTAGTACAAACTGTCTTGCAGAGTTGTACAAAGGTTTGTTAATAGGAGAAAGTTCATGATATTCATAGGAAAGCTTAAAAGCTTCTGATTTTGGAAATCACAGCCTGCTTTTCCTCAGGAACTGACAGGCAAGTTGCAGCACTGTTTCAACACCTTATCCTGTTTACAGAACAGGCTTAATGGAACCAGCTTACCCGCAGATCTATTCTTCCATATCCTTTGTGTCCCTAACAGATGGCCATTCCCAATTTTTAGAGTATTTTAAGATAGTTGAAATTTAAAAGATATCAGAGATGCTTTTTCTTTTTCAGACATAAGGGCCTTAGTCACATGATATCCATCAGTCCTTAACCAGGATTCCTGATGAATGAACCACATTTTCAATCTTACATGTTTAAGAACAGTACAGATATTTGATAACCTACAGGCTTATTCACAGTGTATGCAGTCCACAGCGGCATCCAGATATCATAGCTGTATCCACTCACATACTGATGATGGGAAAGGAGGCAGTAGACATTCTCCTTCTGAAGAACTCTGGGTCTCCCATATGGCAAATGATACGAGTTTGCCTTCATTACTAGAATTTAAACAATAATTATTGATTCCTTTTTCCGTAACATTTTGGATGGCACAAAGGTTTAAGAGAGCAGAGAAAAACGTAAATTAAAACATTAATAAATACAAGTGAAACCAACAGTAAACATGGGCATGTGTTTCTTTAAGCTTTTAGCTCGTAAGTGGAATAAAAAAATGTAGAAAATAGTTTTCACGTCATGCTTAACAAACAAAAGTGGATGTAATATATCAGACTTGCATTGTTTCTTTGCAGTTTCATACCAACATCAATCTTTCGAACTTACCTTGAAGGTGGAGTGAAATTTACATCTTATTTTCTAGGAAGAATTACAATGCTTCCTAAAATTCGCAGAAACCCCATAAAAAGCACTCAGAAATATAAATGGGAGGCTTTGATCAGAGAAAGGCAAAGTTATGGTTACAAGGTGGGGAACAAGAGTTATGGCATATAGCCTGCAAGTCTCTGAAGCCCACTAAAACCTGTACGGCTTTTTTCAAAGATTTTAATGGAATTCAGATCTGTTTCCTATGCATAAATGTTGCTGTAACAGTATCAATTAGCATTATTTAAAGAAACGCAATGAAAAAAGAAAGAACATTTCAGAGCAGTGGAACAGGCTGCCCAGGGAGGTTGTGAAGTCTCCTTCTCTGGAGACATTCAAACCCACCTGTGCAACCTGCTGTAGGTGAACCTGCATTATTGGGGGTTGGACCAAATGATCTTTAGGGGGCCCTTCTACCATTCTGTGATTCTGTAATGTTATGCTTCTGACTTAGCTTTCCTACATCACTTTAAATTGTAATTAACACTGCAAAAATTCCCACTGAAACCAGTAATATAAAATCTAAACCAGGCATAGATTTAAAAATATTGCTGTCCTTTTCATTTCTTTCTACTTACTTTCTTCTGTGGTGAGATTTAACCTCTCATTTAGTACTGAAACATTTGTTATCTGTAAAATATAAGAGAATCACTCAGAATTAATCCATATTTTAGAAAAACAAAGAAAAGAAAACACACTTGACAAAGATGATTAAAAGACCCCAGAAGCCCCTACTTACATGTGTGCATGAGCATCCCAGGTTATCTATGGGAGTCAGATGGGAAACTGGACATGAAGAAGGAGATGAGTCTTCCTTTGCATGTGAAGGATTGTAAAAAGGATTTTTTAGGAGGTGATTCAAGCTGCCATGTGTTCCATTGTTTGGTGCTGGTGTAATATGCAGCAAATCTGTTGAAGCATTTGAAATTTGTAAACATATTTTAAGACTAAAATGGCATTTTTAAAAGCCCTTATCTTTCCAATTCTACGCATTTCCTATGTATTCATTCTAAATACAAAAGAAATAGCTTATTCTGTTATCTAAACTTGCCATCAACTTGCAATCTTGTAGGTATGAAGGTTCATTGCTCTCTTCCACTGCATCAAGATTCGGTAATTCTGTATTTGCGTACTGTTGATACAATTTTATACATTGCCATAAAATTCGTAAGATATAGATGATTTAATGCAGAGTACAAATGTGATTGCAAATGCATCACATTGTGCAGCGTACTAGCTTTTTGCATTTTTGTGTGATGCCTTAATCCATATTTGTGAGGCACATACTTCCTAATGCTTACTGCCAGGACTGCATTGGTCCGTCTCAAGCTGTGAGCAAGAACAGTAACTCTCTATAGATTCGTTTCCTGCAATTATTCCACAGGCATCATTTCAAGCCTACGTGGCAGGAATGCTTCTCTAATTCTTTAGTGGAATCCTTCTGCAATCGGAAACAACCTTCAAAGCAGAACCATTTTTGGCAGTGAATGTTTTAGCACTGTACAGAAGGCAAAAAAGCATGACTTCAGTGTTTTGTGTGAAAAACCTAGCTTCTGAACGAGTTCACTTAATTTTTAGTTATACTTCTTTTAGCTCTTACACCATTGGTATTTGAAAACACTGTTGGTTTGTCATCTAAAGTACTGGACTGTTTCTACTCACCACACATAAGGTTGTAAACCTCAATGTTTTCGAAAGCATCCACTTCTGTTTTCTCTTTAAAGCTTGGGCCATATGCTAAGAATATAGCCTAGATTGTAATAAAACAAAAGTTGTTATCTAAAGGAATTCAAACTCAGAAACAATTCAGTTGCATTTTATGGAAACAGGGACACTGAAACAAAATACAATCTTTTCACAGTCTTAAAAGTTAAAACACAGGATTGTTCGGGTAAAGAAGGCAAATTTTGCCCATTGCGGATAATTTGAAGAAAAATGCAAAACATAAATCCATTTCTCAGGATACGTTACATTATATAATGAATCAGGGTGGGGGGATGTTCTTTAATATTTTCATGCATACTTACAAAAATTATTGTTTGCTTTGTTTCAAATTCACACCTTTAAACGTTTTCATTGCAACAGCCAGTAACAATGTCATTTCAGCAAACACAGTTATGACACTCGCAGATCCTATATAAAGGCTAATATTGAGACAGAAGTATAAGCATTGGGGTGGGGGTGTGTGTGAGTGTGGGAGGGTGTTCGTACATTTGTGTGTTTGAATACATGTTGCATTCTCAAAAGTCTTTGGGTCAATTAAGAGCCGATAGCCATGGCTAAAGCAGGGACCGATCCCAAGCTGAGCAGAGACCTGCATCAGTACCACCTATGGTACAATGTAGTGCTGGGTGGCCCTCGCTGGGGTCTGCAAGCATTGTAGCACAACGTATATACCAACAGTCTCACATTAGTCTCTGCTACTTTATAAGCCTCCTGAGCTTCCTGCCATAAGATACAGGAAACATGACTAAACAGGACAATGATCTGTTCTAAAATCATACTTTTATGTTCCCATAACAGAAAAGGAATTTTTAATTTATTTTTAAAAGACAACATTAAGACATTTTTCTCCTTTGAAGGAAAAAATTTTCCTGTCATTGTGCCACCAGCATGAGGTTTATCTTTGATTAACATTTGCGTGGTCACCAGAATTCATCTTTTCTTTCCAAACAAATATTCAGCACCATTCTGATCAGTATATTGACATATGGTTTTAATATAGTTGTGAAGATCTGGAAGAATCTAATTCTTAGGCACAGAATATGGGACTAGTAGTGGCATGCTTGAACTTACTTAAAGGTTTACATCACAGAAAGTACATGAAAAACCAAAAGCTCAAGACCTCATAATATTTTCACTGTAACCAAAAGTGAAAATGAGATTAAACTGCAACATAGGCTATACTAACATACAGGTTATACTAATGACTTTTTTGCTCTGGTGATATGATTAAGTCTTGTAAGATAAGCAGAGACAATGAGATTTAGTTTATTCGAGCACAGATGCTCAACTGCACTCCCAGAGCCTATGGAGATTTTTCAGCCATTGCTTCAGTAGAAGAATGAAAGAATAAAAGAATGAAAGAATGAAAGAATGAAAGAATGAAAGAATGAAAGAATGAAAGAATGAAAGAATTCAGTGTCTCGTAGCTAAACATGGTATGCTTGGTTTGCTGTAGTCTATCTGGCTCCACAGAGTTAAGGTGAGCCCAGACAAGTTTTACTACAGGATCCCAAGGAAGCAGGCCTCGTACACATCGATGAAAGGCAATAGGAATATGTGGACCCAGTATGTACTCACAGTTTACATGTCTGGGTGACACAGAAGAAAAAGCACTCTGCTATATATATTTAGTGTTCTGATGGTTCACTTAGCACATCATGATTTTCTATATAAGAAGGTGCAAGACTTTGATCAAAATCATCTTACCTGCATACTTTTAAATTCATTGTTATAGCCATGGTTACCCCTATCGCAATACGTGTAAGTTCCGTCCCTAAGAAGAAACCATCATATGGTGTAAATAAAAATGGCACAAATAGAACCAGTTAAAACAGTCATCCTGACTCACTGGACTCTAGATCATATCATAAGAACAGACTCTGGCATAATATTGTAGTACATTTTGCTCATCCAGTGTTCCCTTTTATGAAGATTTCTTCTGTAACAGAGATTGCTATGGACAGAAATAAATTATCCTAGGTAGGTATAGAGTGTACAGCGAATCAGTGTTTTCAAAATAAAATGAAAAAATGGCTATGTTTTAAGTGAGGCCTTTACATACCTACAAGTTTCAGAACAAGTGTAATCTGCTTAGGAAGAATTCCTCAGTTATATTCTCTGGTATCTGCATTTTTATAGAAAACTTATAATGGGAGAACTCTGCTGTTAGCCTCTGTGGAACAATACAAATAAGACTGCAAGGGATTTTGCCTTACAAGACATGGATTCTGAAAGGTGAAGGAGAGATGTGGATGTGTGTGCGGGGGTTACAGAATTAATAACATGTCAGAATAGTCTGACTTATAATGACTAACATTTGTTTCAATTTACCCGTTGCTGAGATATACAGAAAGACAGAGAGATAGTCATCCCATACTGATTCAATGCACAGCTGACATGCACATGTATCCTGTTTTCAGAGGCACAAGAATATTTGAGCACAGTTAAAAATGGGTGAATATGAGATTTTTCAGTGGGCATTTATTTTTATATGTACAGGACAATTATTTGGTTGCATCAAAACAAAGAACCAAGTCATGTACTGATCGAGTACTTTCTATTATTTAAATGTCTTGAAATTCCAAGTCAGCTCATGCTTCTCCTACGGCAACACTGTAGCTCAGTAAATACAGTATTGCTACTAACACCGCAGGCTTTGTATTGAGTTTTCAAAGCCTCAGGACTAAGGCTTATCTGAACTGCTCTTGACTTGCTCAAAGCTATTGGTTTTGTTTAGCTCTTAGAACAATTTTTTACAATGACAAGGTGGTTGTGTCTAATCTGTTATCAGCTTATCTCTGCATGGCAAAGACATACTTTTTATACAGATAGCAGTAATAATTAGTTATTCTGCATAAAATGGAGACCCCAAAGCTATAAACAACTCTCCAATGGTCAATTAAGGAAATGCAGATCTGGAACTGAGCAAAACCAGACTTAGAAGAAAGAAAGAGAATAAAGAACAAATATCTAACACATGTAGAATGCACTCTGTCTATAGTGAACTGAGATGTAAAGTTAACTTGCAGGCCAGTGAAGAATGAACAAGCTGTAGTGTTAGCCACACGTATAGGAAGGAAAAAGTGAGGAAAAAGAAACATCACATTGTATTCCTCCTGGCAAAGGACTCATAATGCTGATTACTGGCCGTATCCACACATCCAGACTGAAGCCACCGACCTTAGGACCCAGAAAGGCAGCAGAGGAGTGACTGTAATACCAGATACTAGGAAGGCTTTGTATAAGAATTTTAACTGCATTATTTTTGAGACTTTTTCTGTGTAGTAGCATTCATTTATTTATTTTCTTTTTCCTTCCTTTTTTTTTTTCTGTAAAAATTTGATCTGGAGTAATGATGATTCTTTTATTAGACTGTTAAGATTTGAACTGTACTAATAATACATTCTTGGCTTTATGTATAAGGCTCATTTCCTTTTTATACATAGTGAGATCTTAAATGTAACAAACATGGAAATGTAACGAGTCTAAAGCCAAATAGGAAATGAGGCATCCGTGAGGGCAGTTAAAAGGATGAAAATGGAATGAAAAAGATAAGGTAACAGTCACACAGATTATGTTACCTCACAGCCAGCCACTGTTGATCCACCAAAAGATGAACTTTATCAATACGAATGTTGTTAGCATAGTGGAATCGTTTTGGCAAGTCAGGCGTCAGATAAGGCTTGAAGTGCTGAGGGGATCTTTTGCACTGTGCAAGAGGAAAGAGTCCAGTCATGAGTTTTGCTCAGTATCAAAAATAAACCCATAATTCAAAGTTATGACAGGCCCCTTAGTGACAGGAATGTAAGCACAAAGCACATTATTCACAGATATCTTCTGCGATACCCTGCAGATCTCATTTTTAGCCCAAGAAACAATGGAAGGAAAAGTGGCTTTTTTGGGGAACTGTTTGAAAATATACTGGTACACTATGCATAGCAAGTTTCACAAATACTGTGGTAAAAGTACTCCTAAGGCTGAAAGACATTTAGTAGTAATGCTTAGTCCATAATATATCCATACTAATGTCACTGGCATCTAGTACGTAAGACTGCACTCTACAAGAGAAAGTTCCCTGGCTGTTTATTTCTGCCATCTTCTATTACTTTACCATTCAATAAATAACAAAGAAAACCAAGTATACATAACGTAGCACAGTCTAGGGTTTTAGTAGTTAGACAGAACATGTACTCTCATGCCGTGTAAATGTCCAGTGCTCAGCTGTTAGCTGAAGGCCTTAGATTTTACATCCACATTAATACAACAATTAATATAACTGTTGTGTTAGCAGGCATGCCATGAACGAGTTTGGCATTGAGAGCCTAATGACAACCATATGACATACTGCAAAGATTTAACTACATATGGCCATCGGGAGCCATTCCAGCTGGCTGCAAGCATCATGGCAATGTTTCAGAAGTGTGGCTCCTGACAAGTAATTCAGCTCTGGGACAACACAGAACATCTAAAACGCTGAGGGAAGAGCTGCTAGGAGGCTGGGTAAGCCGAAGAAGTGGACCTGTTTTACCACACAGGGTGTGCACACTACAGCACGCTTTGAGTCTGATCTGACATCTTCACCTCTAAGTACTAGAACTGTATACTCTGCTCAGAATGACATTAATGTGTGAAATGAGAGTAAGTGTGCCTGGATAGTCATCAAAGAAGCATAGTGGAACCCAGGAACATGAAAAATAAGGATTCAGCAGATTTGCTAGCCCAGGACAGGAGGTCTTTCTACAAAGGATAATCTAATTAAAGGGGAAAACAGAGTAGATCAACATATAATATGACTTTATGTCTATTGATTAGCAATTAATATACAACACACAACTCCCTTCTCTGCCCAAACCCCTCATTCTAAGAACCTGAAAGGGACAAAATACACTATTTATGAATAGAAAAAGGAAGAGGAATTGTCCTGTTACCAGGATATTCCTCTAAGGCAGAGATGTCACATCCCTGTAACTATTAGCAGCTGCAGTTTCAACTGGGGCTGCGAACATGCAGATTGTGCTATTCCCCTCACATTAATGCTCTTTGATATGACAGGCCCTACATCATACAATGGGATAGGGAATGTAGCACTGAAAAAGCTCCTTCTGCTGTTCAAAACCATTGATACCCTACTCCCGCATCTGCTTTGTATTCTGGGGAATAAAGGACGTGTTCTTAGGCATTCAGAATCAAGAAAAAATTAAAACGTAACGTTCACTGCCCTTTGGACTTCAATGGCAGGCTAAAGCTACATACAATAGTGCACAACGGTTGTTCAAAAGGTTAAAGGAAGACCTCTAGTGGTGAAGTGTGAGAAATACACCCAGCTGAGACGGCCCAGAATTTTTCCGAGCTGACAGCACTTATTCTAAAAGTATCAGAACATCTATGTGCTGCTTGGGCGAGTCACAGAATAGAAAACAAACTGGCAATGAAGGAAAGAAGGGAAAATTATGACAATACACAGAGAGCAAGAAGTTTAAATGTGTAACTCACTGTAAATTACAAATGCAAAGAAATACAAAAAAGACAACTTTCTTACAAGTATTTAGTTTGTCCACCATATTCATCTCACATGTATTAATATATACTAATGAACACTAAAAAGAAAAAAAGGCAGTGAATTATCTATGGAAAAACATGCACTGTCGTATCACCTTTCAGTAAAAGAAATAGGCTTGGTCTTCCTTTGTTTTGTGCTCTATTCCGTACTCCTTTGTCTGCACCCTTCAGAGCTCAGCTGTCACAGAGCGTACCCACAAGGAGCAATGGTCTACATGGGAGACACAGACAAGCTTGGACCTGCCCTGAAGTGCTAAGTCCACACAGTATGGCAGAGATCCAAGCAGAACTATCACTATGGGGGCCAGTGGAAGTGCAGGATACCTAAAAGCACTGTCAGTACTTAAGCGATATGTCGTAAAAGATCCTGAAGGAGCTGTACGGCCTCACGCCAAAGGTCCACCTTGCCTAGTACTCTGTTTCCAATCAGATTTCTAGAACTTCTTGAATCAGATACTTAAGAGAAAGTGTGTAAAAACAAGTCACGTATTGAATGAACATTCTTTCTTGTACCTTCTCATTTTCCTCTAGGCTTCAGGGATTTCTTGAGTCAGAGGTTGCTTGTGGATCATGTTTAACAGGCCTTACAGGCCTGTCCTCCATAAATTTGTCTAAAATCCCCACTTCCTATTTATATTTCCAGCCTCTACAACGCTCTATGCCAATGTGCTCTACAAGGTCATTATCTGTTGCATGGAAAAGTTGCTTTAGCCTAGCCTGTGTGCAGCACTCATGGTCCAGAGCTAACAGATGCCTATTATCTAAAGCATCTCTGTGTTGTATCCTGTTTTAAAATGAAGATACACCCTGCTTTCTCCACGTGAAGTCAGCCACTTTTTCTCTTTCGAAGTGAAGTACAGAAAACTCTTTTGCTCTGAACAGAGATCCCCCATGGCAAACCTTTGTGCACCATCTTTGAATAATTTCTAGAACTGCCTCCTATGATACACTGGAATCAGTACACTGTCTAAACTGGCACTGTAGTCTCAGTTTCTCACAAACTGTGCTTTTTGATCGGATTCCTATTAAGAAGAACTATGAGGAAAAATTATTAAAGTATTTACTCACTGTGAGGTTTTTAACAATTCCTTCTGAGTCAACTGTTAAAAAGAAAAGATGAATTAACATATAGTCAAACAGCTGAATGTTCAAAGCCTTATGAGAAAGATTTCAACATGCTTTTTGTCCATAAAATTGAATTTTTTTATCAGCCTGTGAAGATTATAGTAACTATAACCTTCCACAGGTAGGAATGTTGTGTTTCCAAGAGTAACTCTCTGTAAATGTGGTAGCCTGTGGAAGTACCTAGCACTTCAGGTGCATCAAGACAGACTGTAGAAAACTACCATGGTGATGACTGCCTACACCTAAACCTGACACATCATCAGAACCAAATTTTCTTCTCCCACCTAACCTCTGTTTGAAGTACAAGCTTTTTTACATTGAACTGGACCTGAAGCGCTTGTCTTGTATTCCACTTTCAGCAGCAGTCACAGAGAAAAATCCAGTCTTAGTACTCTCACCTTCTGCATTTTCAGAGAGTGACTTTAACCTTTAGACATTAGTGTTCTAAAAAACAAATCTGAGCACTTTACAGAAGGAAAATTCCTTCAGAAAAAAGTAAGACCATTAGCAGAAATCAGTCAACAATTATATTGAGATTGACACATACAAAATATCATTATTCTCTCCTCTGCTTATTACTCTTCTCCTGACTTAGACTGACTTCTATGTAAACCAAGTGAAGTCTGCTTTATGTTGTATAAATATTGTGCCTACAAATATAAATATAGTTAGAAAAGAGAAATAAAAAGTACAATGTGATCCCAGCTTTTATTTGAGATCTGCAAGAATTATGCCTTTTAGAATAAGTTATGAATTCTATAAACCCACTAAATAGAGCATATCCATGTTTTTACCTCTCTCCGTTCTTTTCCCTGATACAGAAAGTTTGGGGATGTTTTTTTTCCTTTCAGTACGGTAGCACAGTATCTACTCAAAGTCAGTCAGCTTACATGGTTTCAATTTTGTGTTCTTTCGTGATACTAGCTAAAGGGCTCAACCAAGGCTTAGATCCCTCTGTGCTAAGATTCAGATTCTGTAACTTTGTACACATAGTTAGAAATAGTCACTGCTTCAAAAAGACTGACTCTGCCAGTGTTGCACAAGAAATCTGTGAAGAGCAATGAGCTTACAGAAGACCTGAATTTCCAGTCCAAAACAATAAAACTATCTGTACTTCATCTTTCCACATGCCAAGAAAATGCAAACCAGAGTCTGCAACAAGCTTTTCTAACCTTCAATTTCAACTAAAGGTGTTGTTCTTGCAAAAAAACACCCCTGTTTAAACCAAGTTAAGTGAAACAGAAAGCTATTCACTCTGGCTATTACTACAGATGATCCATTTTCCCCTTTATTTATTTATTTATTTCCTATTATATTGGGTGTGCAAGCTCAAGATTGGTCGATTGGTCCACACTTACAGGTAAAATAGTCCTGTGGCACATTTCTTGCTCGAATCCGAGCTGCAGGCCCAGCATATATGTAGAAATCAATCTCATTGAAGTAATTAGTCATGTATTCTAACTGTCTGCAGTAGGTCATGTCCATCCCTAAAGGACAATATAGAAACAGTTATTTTTTTATCTACAATACATGGCAAGGAAGATAAAGTGAATTACAAAATACATTAAAGCTAGGAAGCACACATATTACACAGAGGAATAAACCAGTAAAATTTAGATTGAAAAAATAACTGTATACTTTACCATGATCAGCTAAAACAATGACGTTCACACATTTGTGCAGGTTTCTTTGTTTAAGTCCATCCATTAGCATCCCCAGTGCTTGATCTGCTATCTGTAAGGCTTTGATTACCTGTGAGATAAACTAGTTTAATTAGAATTTTTCTTTCTGATTTCAAGTTCTCACTTAAAAGTAGTCATCGAAGTCTGAAAAAAAGTGAGCTTTTCCGTCAGTTTTCAGGTTCTTAATATTGCTGCTTCTTTTCTTTTTCCATCACCACTAGAGTATAGACGTGCAGGATTCCACTACCCTACCACACAATACGTGACTTAAAAAAAGACTCACAATTAATTTTTTTCTATTACCTTAGAAAAACTGAGCTTTAAAAATGTTTATTGAAAGAAAAAATTAACACATTTGAGCAAACTTGTTTCTTACCCCCAAATTTATGTAAAATACCAGATTTATAACATAAAATACAATTTTTGTTGTAGTATGACCATGTGGTTGTATTAGCAATAAGTAGTGTTCCAAAAATATTTACATATACATGTTATCTATAAAACTAGTGTAGCATCCAAAAAGGCATGGTGCCCTTCTCTTATATACACAGTCCCTTTAAACTTCCTACAGAACACCACTGACTGCCACTGAAGAAATATGGGAGAAATCCAGCACAACCCACTCTACAGACATTCACAGAGGATGGCTCTTCCCCAGCTGGAGCAGCTGACTTATAGTCTTCCTGTAAGTCCTACAGCAAGGATGATACCCGAGTGAGTCTGAGGACTCCACGTCTGAGCATTTGCAGTCTTCTTGTTCCCCTGACTCTGCAGCACTCTCTTGAATGTCTCGTGTGCATAGACAATGTACACACATACAATTACACGCACAATAACGGGGTTTTAAGCCCTTTATGTACAAAGAGAAATGGAGTTCCCTTTCCAATTAGGGAGCCTAAAACTATCCTACAAAGATCATTTTTTCTGTCCTTGTCCACTACAACAGGGCTTTTTGCTGAAGATCAATTTCAGATATATTAAACAAGACCGTTCCAGGAAGGAGCTGATATGATAAGTCCTAAGCTCCTTAAAGACTGACCTTTTTGCCCTCATGCAAGTAAAAATGTAATCTTTTGGGGTTACAAATTAAAAAACATTGAAGTACAGTGTTAGGAATAAATAAAAGACAGCTCTGAAGATTTGTGAGGCCGCATGCTTACAAATATCACTTGGCAATAAAATTAAAGTTCAGTCTAAATGCAAGCATTAATATTATTTCTAATAGTATGTCCTGAAATGATTTTCTGCCAGTCTGTTTGGTTTACAGCTCTTTTGATTCACAAACAGTGTTGGAATCATAACCAAAGGGTCAATCACAAGCAAGAGTTCTTAATAAAACTGGTAAAACAGTCATGGTAATTTTTGACCTACTATCCTTTCCAAGTTTATAAGTCGATTAAGTTCATAGTACAGCACCATCTTCAGTGTGGTTTAGTATAAGAAAAACACAAAAACTACTTACACCACCACTAACTGGTCCAAATGAATGTCCAGAAGAATCTGGCTCTTCAATATACAAAGTGTAGAAATCAGGCCTCAAGTTAGAAATAAATAAGAATGGTACATTATGAGAATTTGAAGACAGCGTTTCAAAAGAACACATACATTAAAAAAAATATATTAAATGAAACCTCAGATGGAATTATAAATAACTTCTTTAAACCTTAATAAAAGTCTATACAGCAAATATAATCATTCAACTTCCTGTGAGTTTTATAATTAATCAACATGGACTATTTGAAGTTACAGTTTCAGAACCAGTATCCAGTGTTTTTAATTGGTTTCCAGAAGAGAAGGAAAGCCAATGTCAACTCTAATCTTTAAAAAGGGCAAGAAGGAGGACCCAGGAAACTACAGGCCAGTCAGCCTCACCTCCATCCTTGGAAAGATGATGGAACAGTTCATTCTGGATGTCCTCTCTACACGTGTGGAGGAAAACAAGGTTATCAGGAGTAGTCAACATGGATTCATCACGGGGAAATCATGCTTGACCAACCTGATAGGCTTCTATGATGGCATGACTGGGTGAATGAGGGGAGAGCAGTGGATGTTGTCTATCTCAACTTCAGAAAGGCTTTTGAAATTGTCTCCTACAACATCCTCACAGATAAGCTTAGGAAGTGTGGGATAGATGAGTGGACAGTGAGGTGGACTGAGAACTGGTTGAAGAACAGAGCTCAGACGGTTGTGGTCAGTGGCACAGAGTCCAGATGGAGGCCTGTGGCTAGCAGTGTTCGTCAGGGGTCAGTACTGGGTCCGGTCTTGTTCAAGTTACCCATGAGCCAGCACTGTGCCCTTGTGGCCAAGAAGGCCAATGGTATCCTGGGGTGCATTAAGAAGAGTGTGGCCAGCAGGTCGTGGGAGGTTCTCCTCCCCCACTACTCTGCCCTGGTGAGTCCACATCTGGAGTCTTGTGCCAGCTCAAGAGGGACAGGGAACTACTGGAAAGAGTCCAGCAGAGGGCTATGAAGATGACTAGGGGACAGGAGTATCTCTCCTATGAGGAAAGACTGAGAGATCTGGGGCTCTTTAGCCTGGAGACAAGAAGACTGAGAGGAGATCTGGCCAATGCTTATAAATGGAGCAGTCCTGCAGGGAAGGACTTGGGGGTGCTAGTGGATGATAAGATGAACATGAGCCAACAGTGTGTACTTGCAGCCCAGAAAGCAAATCATATCCTGGGCTGCATCAAAAGATGTACGGCCATCAGGTCGAGGGAGGTGATTCTGCCC